TGTTAAAGTCCCAAATATTAGAAATGGAGGACAACAATAAATCTTTACAACACAAATTAGTGGGTATTAATATTATTTTATAAATTTTTATATTATTCAAATATTATTTCGGTTTCTAGTAAATATGTATTTTCTGATATACAAGATAAAATTCGCCTTGTTTTATTATAGATTGAAATAAATGTAGAAAATGAAGACTCGAATACTATCAAAAAAGAACATCCATCTGAAGTAAAAATTTATTTTTCCTCTTAATATACGAAATATATATTTATTTGAATTGTTTAATCTATTAAATAGGACGCAAATGCTTTTGTTTTGAAACCAATTTCTAATATAGAAGATAGAGATACGAGATTTGACCAACATTCTCAGAAAATTTTAACATTAACTGAAATTGATTTTATGCTCTTGGTGAGATAATTTACTGTATTTATTAAAAAATCAGTCTTGTATTTAAATGTAATGTATTTTTTGATATTTAGGAACCTACGTCAATAAATACAAATAGTCCCACTAACATAAATACATCCCAATCGAAGGATGATGATATTCCAAAAATACAAGAACTTAGTAATGATAAAAACATACAATCTATGGAATCAAATTCTGATTTGATGGTGACTGTTCCAGATATACTTAAATTACTATGGAATTCTTTTACCTAACGTTCTATCTTTATCATACTACAGGAAAATGAACGCATCGTCCAAAATGTTGCTATTCAAGCGGGATATAGTAATAATATATATGATCCTCTTCAAAGTTCTAATAATGCAAGAGATATAGATGGCTGGTTGTCTCCCAGTACTAATTTAAGATCCAAACGACGAAAGGTAAATTATATATTCTTACAAGATATTAAACATTTACTATAACTTTATTTCGATTTTCATAAATAGACAGGTTGTTCGGAAAGTGCCGATAAACACGTTGGACGATTACATGTCCCATCAACAAACACTTCTATGATTGAATCAAAGTCAGAGACGCGATTCAGAGGTAAATCGAAAGCTGGTCGTAGAACCAATGAAAAAGGAATAAATTGATGAAATATATATCTTGATTA